TACTGAACAAAGCTGAACTGTACCCTTGAAAATGCTAAAGATGGTAATCAAAACAGATAACAGGAAGATTTCTGAACATTTGGAAACTAAACAAAACATTTTCTAAATAATCCTAGGTCAAAGAGGAGGTCTCAAGGAAAAATTTTTAAAAAATAAGTTTAACTGAATGAACATGAAAATATAACACATTAAAATTTGTGGGGCTGGGGATATAGCTCAGTTGGTAGAGTGCTTGCCTCGAATCCACAAGGCCCTGGGTTCAATCCCCAGCACCACACACACACAAATTAAAATTAAAAAAAAAAAATGTGGTATAACTAAAGCAGTACTAAGAGGGAGATTTATGGCACTAAATGCTTACACTTAAAAAGAGGATATTGGAGCAAATTACATTCCATGCTTATATAATTTTATCAAAATGAACCTCAATATTATGTATAAAGGAAAAAATTAAAAATTGAATTAAAAAATAAAATCAGTAATTTTAAATTTCCCCATCAAGAAAGAAAAAAAAATCACCACCAAAACATGAAGGATATAATAAAAATGATAGTAGGATTCAGTGAGGTTGAAAAAAGAAAAACTACAGAGTGAAACCCATGAAACAGAAAACTTTTGGAAAGSAAAACAGCCTTTAGCAAGACTGATAAAGAGAAGACACAATGGCTAACATCAAAATGAAATTTGGGGGCTGGGACTGTAGCTCAGTGATAGAGTGCTTGCCTAGCATGTATGAGGCATTAGGTTCTGATCCTCAGTGCCACATAAAAAAAATTAATAAAGGCATTGTGTCCATCTACATATTATTGTGTCTATATATATATATACACAATACACACAGACACACACACACACACACACACACACACACACACACACACACACACAATCTCCAGATATCCAAAGAAAATTAAGGGAATGCAGGTAAAGTAGCCAGTATCTGAGATGCTTGGGACCAAAAGTGTTTTGGATTTCACATTTCTTCCAATTTTGGAATGTCTGTGTATATGTAAGAAAATAAATATTTTGGGGGTAGGTCTCAAATCTAAATAGAAAATTCATTTTGTTTGATATAGATCTGGTAAAATTTTTAGTGTACCTGCATTTTTTACTGTGACCTGTCTCATGTGAGGTCAGATATGGAATTTTTCCATTTATTGCCTCATGCTGATGCTCAAAATGTTTCAGATTTTGAAGCATTTCCAATTTCAGGTTAAGGATGCTCAATCTGTACTAGGAACAACTGTATAAATTTGACAATGTAGGTAAAATGGACATTCAAAACAAAGTCAATATAAAATAGAAGGCTGGGATGTATATATAAATAATCTTAATAGCCCTGTAACTGCTGAAGAAATAAAATTTGATTTTAAAACCCTCAAAAAGTAAATGTTCAGGGCTGCGGTTGTGGCTCAGCAGTAGAGTGCTTGCCTAGCATGTGTGGGGCCCTGAGTTGGATCTTCAGCACCACATAAAAATAAATAAATAAAGGTATTGTGTCTAACTACAACTAAAAAATAAATATTAAAAAAAGGAAATGTTCATCCCAGATTATTTAAGTGAGAATTCTTCCAAACATAAGGAATTAAAACCAATTACATACAATCTCTTCTACAAAACAGATGGGAAAACATTTCATAACTCATAAGGTCAGTAATACCCTGATACTAAAACCAAACAAAAACAGCACCAAAAACCAAAACTACAGACTGGTATTCTTMATAAATATAGGAGCAAAGATCTTAATAAAATATTAGCAAATAGAACTCACAAAATATTAGTAAACAGAACTCATCAATAGATTAACATGACCAACAGAGTTGAAATATTTCAAGGATACAAGTCTAGTTTAACATTTGAAAACTAATCCATATAATCCACCATGTTAACAGGCTACAGAACAAAAATTACATGCTCATATCAACTAATGCAGAAAAAGAATCACAAAATTCAAAAGAAAAAAAATTTTTTAAAATGCCAAGAATATAAGAGAAAATCTCACTCCCATTTAAAAACTCGAGTTACTATGTTCCTTCCACAGGGATAACCTCTGTGGTCAACTTATATTCTAAAGAAACTCTGGGCAATAATAGATAATTCCGTTTGCCCTTAATAAAAACAGCCTAACCCCTCTGTCATCTGCCAGGGATGAGACAGCAGGGCAAGGATAAAATTTAAGACCACCCTGAGCTGGCTGTAATTGGCAAGTCTCAACTTCTTTGAGCTGCAAAGTCTTTATCTGTAAAATGGGAATAACACTTTGCACAGTTAGCCTGAAGAATAAATTGAGATAATACGTACACAGTGTTGGCCCAAAAGTAGATAGTTTTGACTATTGGTTGCTTAGTTTGTGTAAAATAAGCAGTGTATTTGCTCTGTGAACAATGTTGGCAGCATATTTTCCTTTGGACTCAGAGAACAGGTTAAGGGCTTCTTTGATTTTTTTCTTAAACAAGTTTTTTAAATTTATATGAATATTTGCATATGCCAGTACATTAGTTGTTCAATTAATGTAGGAGTATCTCCATGGTCCTAGATGTTAATATTAACTTCTTAGTTCTTCAACTTCTCTGTATTAAAGCGATGAAGAAATTAGTATCCATACATTACCTCAGTTGTCTTCTTTCTCCAAACTGTAAAATATATATATACACACGTTTTTTCTAGTTGCAATTTATTATAAGTAGGTAAATCAAAAAATAAGGATTTTGACTATCTTAAGTGGCCTCCTGAAAAACTTTAGCGAAGTCTTCTGGCTTTATCCATAAGTCAGTTCTAAAAGACAAAAACCAGTGATTGCATAGATATTCATTACAAAGATATTGGTTTGTATAGAATTGTGTAGTGTGATTGGATTCTTGAGAAAGGAAACATACCCTACAGGGTTAAGACAGAGCACACAAAGGAATCAAGGTTCAAGGTTCGAAGTCTGACAGAATTTCTCCCCTAGCTTCCCTTCCCTCTAAGTTAGACTCACCTGCCTGTTTCTTATATTCAGTGTCAATGTCTTGGTTCTCTTTCCATTTTGCAGAACTTCCCACCCTGCCACCACAACTCATTCAGGTCCAAACTACAGGGCATTTCCTTACCTCCAAGAATGTAATAGCCTCCCACTTGCTCTCTATTGTATCCACCTTTCCACACAATTTGGCAGAGTGGCTAATTTTTTTCAATTTTAACTTTTTATTGAAGTAAAATATACAGAAAAGTACACTTATCATTGATGTGTAGATTAATGCAATTCCATAAACTGGACACACCCAGACTAAAGATCAGCATTACCATGATCCAAGAAAGCCACATTCTGCTCCCTTCCAGTTACTAATCTCCCAAAGGTGGTGACTTCCAACAGCATGTATTACTTTTTCCTGTTTTTGTATTTTACTAATGAAATTACATAGTGGAGTCATGTGTACTCTTGTCTGGTTTCATTGCTCAATATTACATTTGTGAAGTTCACTCATTGTATCGTGTGTGTGTGTGTGTGTGTGTGTGTGTGTGTATGTATGTATGTTTGTACTGGATATTGAACCCAGGGGTGCTTGACCACTGAGCCATATCCCCAACCCTTTTTTTGAGACAGGGTCTGGCTAAGTTGTTTAGGGCCACACTAAGTTGCTGAGATGGTTTTGAACTTGATTCTCCTCTCAGTCTTCCAAGTCAAGATGCCACGGTGCCCTGCTATTCATCCTCATTGCTTTCTAGAATGAGCCTATTGTGATTTACTTATCCTTTCTATTGTTGAATATTTGAGTGGTTTCTAGTTTGGGGCTATTATAACCAGTATTGCTATATTATCAGATTTTGTTTAACATGCATTTCAGTTAAGAATATACAAATTGCCATTGCAACACAGGAACTCCAGTTCCTCCACATCCTTGCCAACACTTATTTTTTAAATATTTTTATTTTAGCCCTTCTAGTAGGCATGTAGTGATACTGGACATCTTTTTGAGCATTTCAGATAGCAACTCACTGGTCTCAGATCAAATCCCACAGTCATATACTCCCAGCACTTGCCTCAGCTTCAGCTTTAGTGTGGATTTCATTTCAACTGTCCAATCTGGACTTCAACAATGCATACACACAGCCTGGCACAGTTGGAACTCATGTATTTGAAGGAACAAATGAACAATAGGAAACAATGCAGTACTTTTTGTTTTCTTCTGAAGAATTTTTATGTTGAATTAAATATTAAATTTGATAAGCATGGGGACACTATCAGGTCCCTAAAACTCAGTAAGGAGAGCTTTGTAGAATTACAGAAGTGATACTTTAAGCTATATAAATGAATCTGAGTAACCTTCTGCAACCTTGAGCTGTGGCCCAAGGGGCTAGTAAAGCCAGATCACATTGTTCAAACTCTATTTGTTCACAACCTTCAAAGATGCCCATCTGAGTCATGGTTGTTTGCACAATTTTCTAGTGAACAAGAACATTAGAGTCATTTATGAAGTTTATCTGCCTCCACTCAAATGGAGAATTGGATAAACTGCTCTCAAGGAAGTAAACTTTGAAATTTTACCCTGAAGCCCTGTAACAAAGGGCCTCAACATTTCCTTTGACCCTGCCTCATATGCCTCATAAAGCATTGTGCTGCTGTTACACAGTATCATGGACTGGGTACTTAGAATGAATTGAAATTTATTCCCCATAGTTCTAGAATCTGGTAGAGCCTTTTTGTTGTGTCATTTTGTGGCAGGGGACAAAAGTGGGGCAGGAAGAGAGACTTTGCAGCCCTGAGCCCTTTCAAAATCTTTTTTGTCAATTCACTCARTAGAGGTGGAGCCCCCATGGCCTAAATAGCTCCCCTCTGATTAGGCCCTACTCGCAACAGTTTCATTGGGGATAAAGTTTCTAGCACATGCTTTTTAGGGGACATAATCAAGCCACATTAGCAGTTATTCTGGGACATTTCATGAGCAATTTTCCCTGATTTTACGTAGGCCTTGAGTCTTGAAATAAGAGGGTCTTATGAACATTTTTTCTTCCTGTTCCAGAGCCTTTCTCACTGTGAGCTCATCACGGATGATGGGATCCTGCACCTGAGCAACAGCACCTGTGGTCATGAGAGGCTGCGGGTACTAGAGTTGGACAACTGTCTTCTCATCACTGACGTGGCTCTGGAACATCTAGAAAACTGCCGTGGCTTGGAGCGCCTTGAGCTGTATGACTGCCAGCAGGTCACTCGAGCAGGCATCAAGCGGATGCGGGTAGGCTTGGGGCTGGGGAGTGGGCTCAACCTGACATCGTTTCTGAGCAACAGAATCAAACATTAAAATCAATGTCCAGCGCTGGGGAGGTAGCTCAGTGATAGAGTGCTTACCAAGCATGCACAAGGCCCTGGGTTCAGTTTCCAGCCCCACCCTCCACCTATCATAGTCTGTAATGAGATGTAGTGATGAGATGAATCTCAGCAATTAATAAACTGAACATCATTTTTAAAAAAAAATCAATAGCCAGCTGGGCATAGTGGCACTGGCCTGTAATCCCAGCAGCTGAGGAGGCTGAGACAGGATTGCAAGTTCAAAACCAGCTTCAGCAATGGCGAGGCACTAAGCAACTCTGTGAGAACCTGTCTCTAAATAAAATACAAAGTAGGGCTGGGGATGTGACTCAGTGGTCGAGTGCCCCTGAGTTTAAGCTCCAGTTTCCCTCCCCAAATCAACATTCACTTTCTCCATTCTATCCTAAGCCAATAGTTATGCAAACTTATCTGGTTTACTCATTTGTCAGTCATCTTTGACTGCTTCAAAATCCCATTGCTTAGATCCCACTCTGGAAGTTAACTTGAGTGGGTCTGGGGGAGATGTTCCATGCAGTCTGATCAGCACCCTTATAGCACCTCCATCGGCCAGGCATGGTGACACATAACCTGTAATCCTAGCAACTCAGGAGGCTGGGAAAGATCCCAAGCTTGAGGACAGCCTGGGCAACTTGATAAGACCCTATCTCAAAAAAGGACAGGGGATGTATGTAGTTCAGTGGTAAAAGTACACCTAGGTTCAATCACCAATAAAAAGAGGCTCTCCTTCCAAGGAAAACAACTTAGATCATTATCAGTAAGAGGCAGGACATAGTCTTGGCATCTTCGTATAATTCACATATATCGTTTTTCGCCGCAAAGCAGCCCTATCCAGGGTCCTTCACTCAAGTTTGCCCACAGGGCCAGTTATTGCCACTGAGCAGAAATAATAATTTCTCTAATAATATTAAGGGGAAAGTAGTTATAATCCCAAAATACCAGGGTAAAGACTACTCCACTTTTTCTACTTCCAGGCTCAGCTCCCTCATGTCAAAGTCCATGCCTACTTTGCTCCTGTCACCCCACCAACAGCAGTGGCAGGAAGTGGACAGCGACTGTGTAGGTGCTGTGTTATTCTCTGACAGCCCACTGCTCAGGCCCAAGGGGTGATGAGGTGTCTCTTCTTGTAGAGAAGACCAGTCTTCATGATTACTCCATCATTACCCAAATCTCTTGCTTCTCCACTGGGAAAGGCATTTACAGGTAAAAGCCTTCAGTATGGACTGGAGTAACTCTGGTGATAGTGTTTCACCTTTATTTTGCTGTGATGCAATCAAAACTTTGTGTCCATTAACACGTGGCAAGAGTGGTCTTGATGCAGCCAAGATCACACAAGAAACCTGGATCCCTTATGAGGTGGGTACCAATCTCTGTACAAAAGTCCTACCCTTGGCTTTATCAGCATTCCTCAAACAGACCATCAGTGTTAGCACAAACTGAGCAGAAAAATATAACCTGTTGATTTTCTACCTGATCCTTAAGCCAGTGGCCTACTTTAATCCACAGTAATTGCATTTTGATTAGCTGGACTTTTCACTTTGAAGATTAAATAGCAATTTTATCAAAGTGACTGTAATGCAAATTCACAATACCCAAATAGTTTTATATGTAGAAACTTATGTGGAAGGCATGATAATAGGTTTCCATGAGACACCAAAGAAATGAGGACTCTAAACTGGGTGAAGCAGGGTCTTCACCTTTGTTATCAGCCTGTCATATCCACCTCCAGGAACCAAAACAAAACAAAAGCAACTCAGTTTGTGTTGCCTGATTGGAAATTACAAGCTCTGGCATATGCTACAGCACATAATGCATTTTTATTATAGGGAATAAAGCTAATTATTCCATACTTCTCACCAAATATGGGGGATCTAAAGAAACAGGAATTAAGGCTTAAGTTATCTCTAGTATACTATTAAAAACAATGAATGGATGCATGTAGAATGGATGTGATTTTTTTTTTATTTTTAAATTTTAGAAATCAGGTTACACCAAAACTATTCAAAAATTTTACACACTTAAAACTCAGAAAAGTGTTGGCACCTTTTGGACTCACAATATAAAAATGAATAAACCATTGCAATACTTAATTCAGAGGGTTTTATTGCTATTTTCTGGCACATAAATCTGAGTAAAACCGTTTTCCAAATTCAGACCTCCTAATGTTACCTGAAATAAGATATGATGCTATAACTGAGTCCTGCTCTGCACTGTCCACATTTGTGATCTTTATTGAAGATTAGGAACCCATTACCACCTTCACTGTGAACTCAAGTGTTAATGGCAGCTGATCCTTGCAACCACTTYTTAGAATTCATGAGAAATAAAAACAAAAATGCTTTCTATGCTTTTATAGACAATGATAAAAGCATTTTTAAGGGGACAAATGCCTCAGCTGCATTCAAAGATGGCAGATAAACATATACCCCCCATAAATTGACTTAGCAAGATTGAGTAAGCATTAAAGTACTATTTTATTGCTTTTTGATAAACTCCAGTATTTCCTGGTTATATGAATGCCACAGCAGTTATATTTGCGCCACTGTTAGGGAAGGAGGACATAACTGATGAAGCCATTTAAGTGAACAAATGAGCATGTAACAAACTTGTTAAAATGATTAGTTTGTATTAAATTTAATTGGTAGAGTGCTTTACCTGGCCATGTGTGAGGCCCTGAATTTAATCCCCAGCACTGGAGAAGATTTTTTTTTCTAATGACCAGAGACTGCCATAYATTCTCTCTTTGAGTTAGGATACAACCTCTCACTGCTATTGGACTTGATGCTAAACGATCCATGACCTCATTTATAAAAATAGAGGGTTACCTCAAGTGAGAAAACCAGGTTTGCTTCCTCTGTAAAGAACAGTTTGTAGAATAACCTGTCCTTAGTTTTGAGGGGAAAAAACCTACAAGAGCTTAGCCTCTTACAATATTTGTTCTGAGGTATGCTCAGGACAGTGGCTCCCTTGGTTCTATGACTCTACTTGAGATGAAACTAGCAAGGTGAAAGTCAACTTGAAGTGAAACTAGCAAGAACTGACATTTTAAATGAGACACGTTTGCAAAACAATCGGAAAACATTTATTGTACTGAAATGTGTACATCCTACTATTAAAAAAACAAAGTAGCAAATTTGCTGGTGCCATAATTTATTTAACCTGTTTTACTGGGACAGACTAACGGTCAATGCCACTCAGTATTAATTTCAAGTTTGATGAGCTTGTATTTTATCCCACTTTTCTAAAACCTGATGAATTCAAAATAGCACACAGCATTAAATGACATTTATTGTTCCATAAATCATGAGACCCAAAGGAATGCTAAATAGACAAGCAAAACTCTAAAACAACTGAGAAGCTTACTTCTTTCAAGAACCAAGTGACTGGTACAGAAAACATGTGGTCACACAAAAGCAAAGGGGAGAAGGACAGAAAAGAAAACTCTCTTCCTACATGGTCTATAGGAGTAACAGATATTTCTGAACTAAGATGAAAATATTCAGACAGTGCTTCTTTGTAGCAAATAATTAACCCCTTTATGAATAAACCAAAATGTCAAAGCTTTCACCTAGTGAAGTCATTTGTCTTCTGGGAGAGATTTCAAACTTACAATTAATCATTCCTATTTCCACCTGAACAAAGACGAAGCTCAAATGGTACATTCAAAGCCAAAAGAGCTTAATAAACAGAGATGCTGTAATTAAAAAGTTTAAAAATTCAGTCTGATACACCATAGGCCTCAAAAAATGCTCAATGAATTCTGGGAAGGCTCTGAGTGAAGGGAGGAGCAAAAGAAGAAACTAGTGGATTCCCTTTGGTGGGGGGGGGGGAGTATGCTAGCACACTTTTTATGAAAGATGCATACTTTAAGAAAAAGCCATTGTGTGGTTATTAAAAACCTCTCAATCAGAATGTTTATTCATGATTGTACTGAAGCTCAATATCTGACAAGAGACCAAGGGATTTTTTTTTTTTTGGTAMATTTTAGTGTTAGATTTATGATATCTAGTGTTTCCATGAAAAATCTCATCTTGTTCATAACAAAGATCCCATAACACCAACTCAGAAGCTACCAACAATAAAACTTTGTGCCTCCTACCTATGTCACCTATTTCCAATGTCTAGGGCAGGTCTTTAAAAATGCTCAGGAGTAAGGGGGTGGAGAAATAAGAAGGAAACAAGACAGAAAACCACGAGTTTAAAGGCAAGGAGGCTTCAAAAAAATGAAAACCAGAAACTAAAATGCTAAAATTGGAAGCAGAAGCAAAAAAGTTATTCAATAAATCTGTGACAAAGCAAAAACACAAGTCTTTGTACCTATTAGGATTTACACTGATCCTCTCACCAAGGTACTCCTGATAATGCAGTTTGCTTCAAGCCCATCTTCCTGGCTTGGATCCTCTCCAGTCTGGCATGATCATTTCACACCTATACCCTTAGAYATGATTTCTTCTGAGAAGGTGCCGAGCCTCTTACCTGACCATCACCACATCAGCACAGTCCATCTCTCTGCTGAAGGAATCCTTTCTGGCTCCACAATAGCACTGTCCCCCATCTCCTCCCCAGGTCAGCATAAGGTTCAGGCAATAAAAACCAAACTGGCACAGATAGGTAAATGCCCATGGTTAAGTTTTACATTCATTTCCAAACCRCATACAGTGTAAAAAGCCCAAGGGCTGCTTCTGGGAACTGTATCTACTGGCCTCTGCCAGAGAAGCAGGTAGCCACGCCTGCCCCACGGCCTCCAGAGCTGGATGCACGCTGTCCCGACGTGCTCACTCTCACGAGGATGCTTGGCTATGGCAGTGACAGTGAGATTTGCCTCTCATACAACTCATTAGAAAGGTCATCTGTGTTTTCAATATGAAACATTTCATATAGTAAAATCCAATCCCAAGACATCTTGGATTCAGTCTTCACACACTTTTAGCGTGACTTTATTTGGTACTGGATATAGTTCAGTCTACATAAGACATCACTTCAAAATTATGTGGATACCATCATTATTTTCAGCTGCAGAAAAAGGATAAAAGTTAAAAAAATTTTTAATTTGGCTTAGGAAAGCAAGAACACTAAAAAAAACTCTACAACCCCCACCTCAGAGGTTACTTTCAAAGAATTCTAGAGAAAAACGTTCATTTGTTCTTGCTTTTTCTCTTAGGCGGCATCATGTCCACATTCCCCTTTTAGCCATTCTGCTTTCTAAAGACTGGCTGTGCCCTTCTTAGTATACTGCTCCCATACTGCTTGCCAGTTCTGCAGTGTGATGTGGAACTTATCTGTAAGCCAGACAGAGCACAAGTTGGAAGCTGAACAGGTGAAAACACTGCAAGGGCCAAGTCAACCCTACAGAAAATACACAATGTTTCTATCATTCCTAGAAAAAAATTTTTAACTCCTTGGAGGAAGATTTGAAACATTTAAAAAATATATCCAACTTTTGCCTGATGGCCTCCATAAATGATGAGAAGCATTAAAGGTATTTTAGATAAATGATTTTTTTTAATGTACACAAATCTGAAAAACAGATTTTAGGGGAAATCCTAAGTTTGAAATGTCTACTGAATTCACAACTACACAATTACAGTTTTTTTGTTTTTTTTTTTATGAGTTTCCTTTTTTTTATGCAATGAGTGTTACAGAGTAAAAGTTGAGCAGAAAAGTACAGGTGAACCGGTCCTGGTTACAATTCAGCCCTGTAGGTCACTGAATGTAGTTCAGTCCACATAAAACATCACTTCAAAAGTGCAGGTAACTTGATGTCATATGTGACACATCAGGCACAAAGAGTGACCACCAGGAAAGAGTAAGGAATGCATGACATTTTCCTCTTCTAGGGAAAGTTGTGTTAAGCCTGGTTTGGGCTCTTAACCCACTTGCCCTTTAAAACAATCTATGAACATAGATCTCTTCAAATTCTTTGGCCTTTAAAAACTCTCTACCTAATCTTTTAATGTTGGAGTTCACCTGAGCCCTCTTTCCATACTGTCTCCTCCAATGACTTCAACTTTATAACTTCTGAAAAGCCRAAGGTTTCTAAATTTATATTTTAAACCCAGACCTCTTTATTCAGACCCAGAATGGCACCATTAAGTGACTACCTGACATACCCCATGTTAACTCTCAACAAGAAACTGGCAATTACAACTACTACTCCCTCAAATGTGGAGCTCAGTCTATAAATCATTACCTCTTGCCTGGATGGCCATCTCCTGCCTCCAGTTTTGTGGTCTTCTCATGCCCCCCATTTTGAAAGTAGAAGGAAAATCTAATCACATTACTACTTTGTTTAAACTTCACTGATTTTCCAATGCATTTCAACTAAAATCCAAACTACCATCACCTCAATCCTGAATGCAAAACCCTGTCCCCCACCTTGCTCTACTCACCCTCACCCACTACATGGCAGCTACACAACCCTCTTCCAGGCCTTGATAGAATCATTTGCCCTAGGACACTATTCCTATGGCCAGCTCCTCATCCTTCAAGACACTTCTTCATACAAGCCTTCCTTAACTGTTCCATGTCCTCCATTCAAGATTCCCCTTATCCATAAACACCCCACAGACTTTCCAATTCCTTCTTGGCACTTAAAATGTTGGTAAGTTTGGCCAATTTTGGTTTGTTTTCCCCACTAGAGTGGGAGTTACACRGACTCTTTGTTTTGTTCAACATTCACTAAGCATTAAATTTCTGAAACAGTGCTCAGTAAAATGTTAACTGAATGAACTAAGTTTTTCCTAGTTACCTAGAAAGACTGACACCTTTTCCTCATTTGCTAGTTAACTTCCATTATAGTCCTTAAAAACATTCTGTTGATTCATTTCTCTAATTCTTAAAAATTAGTGGAGAAAGCATTTTCAAGAGTAAGCACACAAAAGGGTAACTAATCAGAGGCACACACAATATTGTTCATAATTTGAGTATAAAGACACAMATGTACAAAGTACCTTTTACTGTAGAGAATAAAAAACAACTCTCATCTTGAAAGTTTTGAACCATCTAGAAGAGTAAAGCACACATATAAGTACAATTAAGATATTACTGTCCCTTTTTAAATGAATAGAAATGATTTAAAATCAGTTAAAGGAAAATATTWTAGTCTATATATTATTCTTGCACAAGTACAGAATTCAAATTACCAAAATACTTCCTGAAGCCAGTGTGAGGTAGTGAAAATATGTGTCTACTGCACTCACAAGACCTTATTCTGACCATCCCTGCCATCATTGTCCCTGAGGATCTGGTCAGTCATTCTGTGATCTATGGGGAGCACTTCCTTACAGTTCTGTTAATATTGACTAAAACAAAGTACATGTTATTATTCTATGATTACTTGCTCTGAACATGGAGTTGGGAGGTGGGTTGTACTTGTAAACTTTCATGGCTTTTTTAAGGTGGCCATAATGGCCAAAATGAGAAAATAACCAATGTCCACCTCATAAAAAGGGACAGAGCCTGCTTCTAACCTTCAAAGTCCTGAAATGAGTATCTGAATRCAAAGGGTTGTGGGGAGGATAAGCCAGTTTTCTTTGACTTGTGTTCCTTATTCTTATTATCACTAAAATTCTTGATTATAAATTCTTACAAAATTTGATCACTAACTCTTTGGAAATGATTCTCATGAGTATTTGGAAAGAGATCACCACAGAATTATTTTCTATAGTTCAAAAGTAAATATCAGTATGAAAGGGAAAAATGAATGAGGATGATTATCCAATTTACCTGATCACTAACAAGAATGTGGATGCCAGTGGGACCCTGTCTGTAAACCTGGTTAATTTGGTGGAGAGGAATATTAAACACCAACGCAAGTTTTCGTGCAACTTCTGAGGCAACCATTTCTTCCAAGTAGATTGCATGGTAAACTGAAATTTAAGAAAGAAAAAAAAAAAAMCAGCATATTACCCATAATCTTTGATCTGCTTCCTACCTGATCCACAGAAAGAATACATCTTTCAAAGTATCAAAAAAATAAAATTTAAAATTTATAATGGGACCAAATTAACATCTTTTCCCCCTTACTACCTTAAAATATCAAACTACCCATCTGAAATATAATACATTATTTATGTTTGCATGTATAACTTAACATTAACAAAATGATTTAAGGTTTAAATTTTTATTTATATTTTTCTGCACTGAAGTCTCTTGTATTCAAAAGTTAAATATGAACAGGGAAGCTGGACATRGTGGTGCATCCCTGTGCTTCCAGCCCTCAGGAGGTCAAGGTAGGAGGATCACAACTTCAAGGCCAGCCTCAGTAACTTAGTGAGGCCCTGAGCAACTTAGCAAGACCCTGTCCCCCAAAAAATAAGTAAATAAAAATAGGCTGGGGATGTGGCTTAATGATTAAACGACCCTGGGTTCAATACCAGGTACCAAAAAATGGGGTAGGGGTTAGGATGGGCTACAAACAGGCACAGGGGTCTTTCTGGGGTAATGGGACTCAAGCTGGACTGCAACAATGGCTATAAACTGTAAACACTGAAGTACCATTGAACTGCATATTACAGTAAAAGAATTTTTATGGTATACATATCATACTTGAAGAAAGTTGTTTTTAAAATGTATATATTTCTGGTAATATACAAAAAGAGCCCTAAAGGGGTCATTATTTTTGATCCAATAATCCTACTGTTGGGAATTTATCCTAAGGAATGAAAGCTCTTGGTACCCTCGCCCAATGTTCACACACACACACAAATTTAAAATAATGTAGAAGATACCACATGAACGGCTATAGACAGACAATGAAGGTTGAAACTTCTTTACAGAATACCCTAGCCAGAGTCCATCCAGCGTTCTGCATTCCTGGCACATATAAGTCTCCAGCAGACATCACCTGCAGAGTGTGCATGTGCAGTGTCTGACTCATGCGGGTCTTGCTTAATGACAGAGTCAAGCTAGACATGGATCAAAAATACCACTGCTGAGAACTTTGTTTCCGTAAATAAGGGTGTGTTCCTTGTTGTGTGTGTGGATTTATGAGTACAGAAACCTTTGTTACGGACACAATACCTTTATTTTTTTAATGTGGTGCTGAGGATCGAATCTAGTGCCTCACATGTGCCAGATAAGCACAATGCCACTGAGGCACAATCCCAGCTCCCTCCACTTATTTTTTCCTAAATAAATTTTACTGGAACACAGCCATACCTATCATTAACATACATTCTATGGCTATTCTGTGGCACTCCAGTGGCGG